AAAAAGTCTTGAAACCTAATTTTGGAGCAGCGTGGGAGGAAGTGGGAGACGAGTACGAGAAGGAAGAGACGTTCGCTCTGGCGTCTGTGCGAACGCTGGATGGTACGCACTCTGAATATGTTTGACAAGTTTCCTACATGCAAAGCTGATGTTGGTGAAGGTAGCTCCATCTAGAGGTGTGTTTAATCTTTGCATCAAACTCAATCTCTTTATTGAACCATTTACAGAGGCGGTGGGGAACATCATCAGCTTCCTGGGAATGCAGCCTTGTGAACGCTCCGACAAAGTTCCAGAAAATAAGAACTCTCACGTCCTCTTCCTTGCTGGTGAGATTCATCAAAGAGTCAAAGTTAATTCTTAGAAATCTGTTTGCTGAGAGTAAGATTTCCCCACCTCCCCCCAGGCGTTTTCCGAGGAGGCCACGACGTGCTGGTTCGGGCTCGTCTGGCGCTGGCTGATGGCGTGACCATGCAGGTGACGGTCCGCAGCAGTGAGGAGACCGTTGTCGATGTGATCCTGGCCTCTGTCGGCTAGAAATCTGAACCCATCACAGCCATTTAGCATGTAACAACCCTAATCCATCTCTTTGTCAGTCCTTAAACTCGTTCTTGTGGCTATGTCAACCAGATAAATGTTTTATATCTTCTATATAAACTAAAACATTTCTGTCTTATTTTTTTCCATCTTCTGTTCTTAGAAAATATTGTTTCATTCAGTTTCACAATAAAGTAAATCAGAATGCAATTAAGACTTTTTTTTAACAAAATTACTTATATAAAAAGAGTTAACATTTAGCATGATGTAGAAAATGAAATCAAAAGTAATTCAGAATGTTGGATTCAACAGATATGAACAATATTACAGTAGTTGATCATCTCAGGTTTCTATAAACGTGCATTTGTTTTCCTCAGACTTCACTTTAGCTCCTAACATTCCTCACTGAGGGTTGAAAATCATTTTGATCTGGTTTTGATTACTCACACAAGGTGCCTGTGTCAGATCTGTTCAGAAAGAGTGGATGAAATTAAAATAAGCTTTTAGGAAGCCGATGGGGTCCTCCAGCTGAGGGTAGTGACTGATGTGGTCGTCCAGAATTGTGATGGTCGACGTCTTCACCAGATACCTGCAAGAACAGAATAAATAAAGTTTTTCTTAATGAACTGCTGAGAACTTTAGAAACCACCTATTTATTGACAATAGAAGGCATTTTTCATAACAGTTTGAGGTTAAAACTTTTTTTTTTTTTCACTGAACCAACTAAGACCAGCACTATTTTTTTTTTACAATTAAACTAAAATCTGGACAAAATTATCCACCGCTAACAAGAAATTTAAAAGCCCCGTTTAACATTTGATGGATTCATTTTTCTTTTTAATAAAAGCTTAATTACTTTTTTGTTCTGTGTTTTGAATTTCAATATGACCCAATTTATTAACCATAGGTCACATTTAAAACCAACAGAATTTCTTAAGGAAAATGTATATCTCACCAGTAAAGGTTTAATTGAAATGCTTGGGATTATTTTATGCTTTTATTGTAAAGAAAATGGTAAACAAAAAAAACTAAACATGTTGCTGGCTAAAGCTCATTTATGGATCAAATGGAGATTCAAATTAATCCCACCATTTTGAAATATTTTCTTTTCACATTCACACTGAGGCAGACTATGCAGTTGCTTAAATAAATATTCATACCCATTGAACTTTTAAACACAACAGCCACAAACATTGTTTAGGATTTTCTTTCAAACCAACACTACGTAATGTAAAATTTTAGTTCCATGAAGGCTGCAGAGGTGTTAGATAACATCACTGATGTATGGGAGCTGTGAACAGAGATAAAGCTTTGTGGTTGGTATCTAAACATCTGTTTGAATTTGTTGTGAAACCCGTTCAAAAGGTGTGAATACTTATGAGAGCCCGGGTTAAGGAAGTGTCTTGAAGGGAAACTCACACATAAAGACGGATGAACTGTGGATGGGGGTTGACAGGGTCCAGAGGTCCGTAAATCATGTGCACTGAAACACAGGAGGGGGAGGAAACCAAATGGAAGATGTAGGAGATGAAAAAGTGAATAAACCATTTTGTTCTTCTAATGTGAGAGTTCAGGAAGAGTCTGATTTTAGTCTTCCTGTTCTGTTTAGGTATTTATTTGGTTTACTTCTGTTTACTTCATTCCTTCTTCTACCTTGTATCCTCTTATTACTTCCTTCTTTCTAACCTTGTTCTCTTATTCCATCCTTTCAATCATTTCCCTTCTTTCGGTCCTTAAATGCTCAGCAGTTTAGCATCACTTAAGCCAGGAATACACTGTGCGATTTTTTTCAGTTGTTGCACACAGCTACAGCTCACACTGTACGACGAACCTGCAGGGTTTAGTAGTACAGCATGAGTTCACCGTTCACGATACGTTCTCGCACTTTGTACGACGCTCTGATGCGATCTACCTGCTCACACTGCAAGTCTAAAAACCACGTCGGACTGAGCTCCGTAGTGAGATGGCGCTACTCGGACTCGTCTAGCCAAGCTTGTAGAAGAGGAATATGAAGCTCACTAGAGTTAAATGCTCTGCCTTGGCAATTTGTATGCTGAAAGCCTTAAAAAGAAAAGGAGGCGACATATTTGACAAAGACATGGCTGAACAAATGTGGCTACTATGGTCTGTCAAATTTACTGAAAGCCATTTCACCCGCACCCCCACCATGCTTCTATGTTTTCATCTGAGAGGAAGAAGAAGAGTCCTTGTTCGCGAATGCCCATTGAGCAATTTGTCCACGATGGGCAAATTGCTCATAACCACCTCCCGATTCCCGATCGGGAGGTGGTTGTGAGAGGCTGATCGTTACCACCTGTACACTAAACGATGCACGACACACGTTAGGACTGAAAGTCGGGCCAATCGGCAAATTTTCGTACAACTGGAAAGTCGGCCCGAAAAGGGAAAAAAAAAAAAAAAAGCACAGTGTAAGCCCGGCTTTACTGAGCTAGTTCATATTTTAGGAAGGGTTTGCTCCCCCCTCTGATCCACTAAACTTACATGGGGCATGTGTAGACGTGAGCGCTCCCACCCATCGATCTCTGTGCTGAAATCTCTGATTGAGGTACTGGAGAATACTGAGGGAGAAAAAAAAAAAAAAAGTGAAATCCCCTTCCATAATTCAGGAACAGTGAGCATTTGAACGCAACATTACCTGTCTAAAACCAAGTTGCCATCATTGTAGCGTAAACTTGTCCACATGTCCCAGAACTCTTCATCTGTGGGCTGAGTGTAGGGACCGAACACTTCTCCAACGCTACCAAAAAGGACTAAAAGCATAAGATAAAACAGTTCCTTGCATTTTTCATTTAAAACATTCTGGTCTTCTCACCTCCTCTGGAAGATCATGAAGTTAGTGAGGCGTGTCAGAACCGTCCCCAGAATACTTGAGTCCTTCATCAGCTAATTGGAGGAAAAAGGAAAATTAAGAACATTTCACAGACAAAAATATGCAGTCCACTTTGAACCACTTTTAATAAATTACAACATAAAGGTCAAAGAGTAGAATGAAGGCAGCTTTACTCACCGTCTGCAGCAACCGTGGGTGATGAGTTTCTGGAAATAACCCTATTGGAAGAAAAATGAAAACCCGCCAGGGTTATCCTTGTCTTTAAATCACAACAATCAGATTCTGCCATAGCACATTGAAATATTATACATGAATAAAGCTTAACCAGCTTTTCCATTATTGCAAAGTGTTTAAATAGCAGAGACAGCAGCTCCAACTTTTTAATAAACAGGAAATTACTACCAAATATGGATGATTTGTTTAATGGGTCCACCCTTTAGGAATGGGAAGTCATTTGGGTTCTTTGTTAGCCTGCAAAGACATTTTGAATTGAAATAG